AGGAAGCACTGGGACCTCACGGAAACATCCAGAAGGCCCTCCTCACCCTTCTGCAGTGTGCGCAAGGAGAAGGGGAGGGAGGGACGGGAGGTCCTGGAGCCCCTCTGTTTGCCGGGACACGTGGAGGCTTGGGGCTGAGCGTGGCATTTTCAAGGGTGCAGGGACCATGCAGGGACTGTCACCGCACTCCCTCCTGTTCAGGGCTCCCCCGGAATCAATGCGGCTGGTGAAGGAAGGGGTTGTAGAGATGACCTCGCGTACCCCCTCCACTTGCTCACAAGGAGACGGAAGCCCGGGTTGGGGGGTGAGGGGGTGGCATCAGCAGAGACCCTGGGACCTCAGACCCTCGGGAACGCCAGCCCGAGCGGATCCACACCCCAAATGCACGCAAGCCTCGCCCTCCGTGAACTACACGCAAGCGCTTGTATAAAACACATAAAGATACATGAGCGTGGTCTCGGAACAATGCCCCGCAGATAAGATAGCTTTAAATCCTCCCCGGAATGGTCCAGTCTAGCCCCCAGCTCCCAGCGGCCGCAGGTGCTCATGGGCAGCGGCGGCCGCTCAGACTTCGAGAGCTTGGGTCCCGTGTGCCGCGCGGGGACAGGAGAGCAGCCGGGCGAGGACACAGGATGTGGAGTCACAGAGGCCTGGGTTTCAGGCCGGCCTGGGCCCTTGCTGGCTGCTGACCTGCAGCCAATCACCCGATGGTTTCCGAAAGCGCCCCCACCCCACACGGGGTTGCGCCCGTGAAGCGGTACCCGCCGGTGCTGGGGCCGTCACGCGGGACACGCCTGAGAGATGTTCACTTCTAGAGGTCCTTCCAGATTCTCGGCCTGAGTGACACTCGCAGGGGCCTTGCTGGGAGGCGGGACCAGGCAGGACCCTCCCAGCTTGGCGGGGGCGTGGGCGCTCGGCCTGCTTCTCGTCTTCAGGGGACTCGGGGGTGGGAGGGCTGGGTTCCGTCAGTTCGGAAGAGATTGACCCCAGGAACTGGGACGGGGGAGTTTCAGATGCCGCCAGCACATTGGTGGCTTCTAGGGCCCTTGTTCCATGTGGCCGGGGCGCGTCCCGGGCTGCGCTCTGGGGCTCCGTTGGGGGCTGGGTTGTGTCCCCTCGAAATTCGTGTGCTGAAGTCCCAACCCCAGGACCTCAGGCTGTGACTGCATTTGGCCTCTACAGAGGTGGCTGAGCTAAGACGGAGTCATCAGCGTGGGCTCCCATCGACAGGACGGGAGTCCTCACGCAGAGGGAGGACAGACACAGACGTGCTCAGGGGCTGTGGGAAGACGCAGGGAGAGGACAGCCACCCAGGAGCCAAGCAGGCCGGGCGCGGTGGCTCACGCCTGTCATCCCAGCACTCTGGGAGGCCCAGGCGGGCGGATTGCTTGAGGTCAGGAGTTCGGAACCAGCCTGAGCAAGAGCGAGACCCCGTCTCTACTATAAATAGAAATAAAATTAATTGGCCAACTGAAAATATACAGAAAAATATACTGGAGCTCAGGGGTTCGAAACCAGCCTGAACAAGAGCGAGACCCTGTCTCTACTAAAAATAGGAAGAAATTAATTGGCCAATTAAAAATATATAGGCTGGGTGCAGTGGCTCACGCCTGTAATCCTAGCACTCTGGGAGGCCGAGGCGGGCGACTGCTCGAGGTCAGGAGTTCGAAACCAGCCTGAGCAAGAGCGAGACCCCGTCTCTATTATAAATAGAAAGAAATTAATTGGCCAACTAATATATATAGAAAAAATTAGCCGGGCATGGTGCTGCATGTGCCTGTAGTCCCAGCTACTCGGTAGGCTGAGGCAGCAGGATTGCTTGAGCCCAGGAGTTTGAGGTTGCTGTGAGCTAGGCTGACGCCACGGCACTCACTCTAGCTGGGGCAACAAAGCGAGACTCTGTCTCAAAAAAAAAAAAAAAAAAAAGAGCCAAGCAGACAAGCCCCAGAAGAAACAACCCTGCTGGCACCTCCATCTTGGACTTTGAACTTCCAGAACCATCAGGCGACCCATTTCTGTTGCTGAAGCCGCACTGTCTATGGTGCCGTGTTGCGGCAGCCCGGGCAGCGTGGACAGGCCCCATTCAGTCTCCCTCCTGCCACCTGGAGAGGCCTTGACCCGGCTCCTAGACCCCTGGTCTGGGGGACAGAAAGGGACCAGGGGCCAGGGCTTCTTGGACTTCCGTGGAAACTCACTTCCTGGGGAGCACGGAGAAGGTGCAGGTTCCATGACCATCTATTTGTGTCTGGGGAGGTTCCCCCCTTTTAGGGACATTCCCATAAATGCCCCTAAATGTTTAGGGCTGGACAGCCCTCCAGCTGCCCCGGTCCTCAGTTCTTGGGGACTCGAGCAAAGGGAAGCTGGAAGCTGTCTGTCCCCAGCCCGGTGGTGGCTAGCTGGCGGGTAGGGCTGGAAGTTCCCAGATTTGCCTGGACTTGAACCCTCTCCTGGCACCGAAGGTTCCTGCCCCCCAGGCCGGTCCCTGCTGCCTTTCCTGGCGGGACAGGTGAGTGAAGCTGGGGCCTTCCTAGGGGAAGGGGAGGGGAGGGGGGCGGGGAGAGCGCCGTGCCCCAGGCTCCCGGTTGGGATGGGCGTGGAGACGGTATGAACTCCTGCTCCTGTCAGTCAGTCTGCGGCGTGACATATGCACAAAGGTACCTTTTATAGGTGGGAAATTATAGGTGCTGCCACTTCAAAGGCCTTGGCAACCAGAGCTCCTCTTTGATAGATGACAGTATTATTGATGGTGATTTATTGCTGGGGCCATTTTGACAACAGAAATAACCAGTTTCCCCACCTTCTTGGCTGGCTTCTCCCACACCTTGCTGGGTTTTTCTTGGCTTGCCCCCCTCTTTTTCGGCTCTGGGGTGTCCTCCCTGCTCAAGGAGGCTGGGGCATCTGTTTAACGAACACGGTGAGGGATGTGGCTTATTAACTTGTCATCATGTGTCATAAAGTTTAGTGAAATGCTGGCAGATTGTAATCCCAAACAGGGCAATTACCCTACCATTAAGGCGGCTTCCCTTCTTTCTCTCTTTCTCTCTCTCTCTCTCTTTTATTTTTCTTTCTCTCTCTCCACCTCCAGCCCCCTTTCCTGGTTGGGATTGTTCCTTATCTTTGTCCCACTTGCTTGATTAGTCAGGAGCAGAAGTCGCTGGGCTTTGTAATTATGGCAGAGCAAGGCGAGCCTTGGCTGCCAGGGGCTCAGGGCAATGAGCGGTGGAGGCCGAGCCCCTCGAGGCTTGCTGCAGTGGGCCGAGGGACCTCCCCGGGGACGGCCACCCTGCGCCTTCCCGGCCAGGTGGCTGGGGTAGGAAGCAGACGGTGGTCGGGGGGTTGGTGGCTCCCCGGGACAGAGCTGATGGGGATTAGCTGAGCCGCCTCCCACCCTGCCACTCGCCCAGGTTCCCCTGTGCAGTGTCTCCCTCAGCCTTTCACTCGCTCACCTTTGGAACTGGTACCAGAGGTAGAAAACACAAAAGGGAGGTGGCCTCGGGGTGGGGACACAGGACGCAGGGACTTACTTAATCTGAGTGTGAGTCCTGGCTGCCGTTTCTCCGTCTAAGACTTGGTTTCTCAATCTGTAAAATGGGGATGATAATTCTTGCCCTGTCTCCTTCACACACTTTCAGAGAGGATCAGAGGTAGATAAGGGACAGGAAGGAGGATGGCTGGCAGGAGGTCCCTCCACAAATCTGAGGGATTGCCGTAGTTTCATATGTGCCATTGCAGGGTCTTGCGTCATCTTTAATGACAGCCTCGGCCCCTGTTGTTCCGGAGGAGTGTTAAGCACGTTGAGGGTCAGCCTCTGTTTCTCTCTATTCCTTGTGGTTTGTAACGCCCTTGGCTTCTCAAGTCTCTTTAGGAGGCATCGTTCTTGGTCTGAACAATGGAACTTTTTAGGCACATTCATGACAAATCCTTGTTATAAGCGCAGTGCCTTGTTGAGAATGCAAAAGCGAACAGGCTGAAGGCAGAACCGTGTCACAACTGGTTCACGATTTGGCCAGATCCTAAAAGGCCCTTAGAGCTCATTTAGTTGAATCGTCCCATTTTATAGATGTGTAAATTTGAGGCTCAAAGAGGCAGAGCATATTTTATAAAAATTCATCAGATAAATTGCAGACAGAGCTGGGACTAGATCTCCCAGCCCAGGGCTTTCTCCACCAAAGCACTTTGACTGCCTGACCCTGGGCGCCCCTTCTCTTCCTGGGGAAGGAGCTTCCTGGCATCAATCAGCTCTCAGGAAAGCACCTGCTAGCAGTCATTTACACCTTAGTGTGAATTTAAGTCAACATTTAGTTCTCCCAGGTGTATTTGCTTTTGATGCCTCATCCCCAGTTATACAGAGCTGGGCATTTTTTCCCTGTCCCTGGAATTTCTAGCACCTGTGAGAAGAGGCAACGTGGCGTGGCGGGGTGGGGGGGGCTCGATTCTCACCCCCTGGAATTGTGTGGGCAATAAGGGCAGGCGCTGCTTCCCGAATTCAACCACTCCGGGCCAAGATCTCTGTATCCACAGTTCAGCGTGTGTTTGTCAGGAGCTGTCAGGAATTAAGGCTGGGAGGATGGATGGAGTCAGACTGGTTTAAAAATGGAAAACCAGCAGATAGGTTTAAAAATGGAAAGCGGCCAGACAGAGTGAAGGTGGCTCCTAAACAAAACACCTGTCCCTTCTGTTGTTCTCTGGTTTCTTTCCCCGTAGCTGGAGGACACTAGAAGGCAGACCAGCATGAATAACTAGTCTTAAGTCCCAAGTGCCCGGTGCAGGGAGAGTTTCTGGGCCCTGCTGTGTTAGGCTGTGTGCAGGGAAGTGACAGTGACACTGTTCCAGCCTTGTGCTGGGTCCCCCTGCTTCTGCCCATGGGGGGGAACAACAGTGCTCTTCCTGGAGGTCACTTTGAGCCTTTGGTGGAACACGATGAGACTGAGCCGTGATAAAACGTGTAGATGGGACTTTTGCTGATTGGAAATGCAAAGAGGCAGAAAGGATTTAGAAATGACACAGTAGGACCATAAGGGGAACGGAACAGCTTTGGTTTTAAGCCTGCAGACCACAAGGAGCCACGTGTAAATTTCCTCCTGACTCTAGAGAAGGGATCTGGAGCCTGGGGGCAAGGTCAGGGCAGAGATGGCCATGTAGGACCTCAGCCTGGAGGAGGTAGGAGATGGGGTGCAGTCTCTGCAGGGAGAAGGATTCCAACACTGCCTCCCAGGGGACGGCTGTCACTGGGCTGGGGTGGCAAGTGGCATCGCAGCTTCACTCTTCCTTCCTGGTCACTCCCCTTCGGTCCTGGGGGACAGAGAGCAATGCAGGATAAAGACAGTGCGAGGTGGGGCTATTACTCTCCCCTCCCCAAGGCCAGGAAGGGACCTATGGATCTGCCACTGTTTGTGGTCCTGGAGGGCTTTGCTAGGTCAAGGCACCTGTCAAAGCCTCCCTTTGCCCTCTCAAGCCACAGGGAGAAGACCAGAGGTGGCCCATCTTTATCGGCAATCTCGGATGACCCAACCAATATACGTCAATAACGAATTGTGTGATCTCGTGCAAGTCGCTTTGCCCTGCTGACCCAGTTGCATTGTGAAATAATAGCTAAGGAGATAATGGACAGCGGGTATTTTGCGAACTTTGTGCTGATATGCACAGGTTAGTCCCCATGACAATGACTCTCTGATTCTGTTGTCTGGAACGCTGGAAAACTGCTCTCCCTCTCTCAGGAATTCACAGGGCGAAAATGCTTCTGATCCTGAGCCGCCGGGAAGGACCAGGTTTCTGGTTTCTGGGGCAAGGTGAGCCCCTTTCTCTCAGGGATCCGAGGGGGAAAGGAGAATTCCCTGCTCCTGGGGTGGGTTCTTCTGGAAGCCACACCACCCTTCCTTGCCTCCGAGCAGGGCGCCCGGCCCCAGTTCTGTCTGGAAACACCTTGCCTAGCCCCGGGGCCAGCCCTGTCTCAGCAAGGCCTCAGCCACGTGGAACCTGAAAGGTAGGTCAGCTGCCTCCGGTCCTGACAGGTGAAGAAGGGAGATAGGTAAGCTGCACCCTCCCTCCTTGAATTGATAACTGCTGAGCAACAGCCGCTCTGCAATTGCTAAATAAAACCTCCCGCCCCACCATGGCAGATTTATGGCTGGAACACCTTATCTGAATGCAGGATATTTCAGGAGTGCACATGGGTGTGTGCGAGATGGGAGGGGAGAAAAGGCAGTTTTGCAAAACTTCCCAGGGGTGCCCAGCAAATTCCTCCCTCTCCTCCCTTCCCGGAAGCAATAGCTGGAAGCCCTTTCCAGATCTGCCAGAACTTATATATCTGTGGATTTCTTCCCCAAACCTAGCACAGTGTAGACGCCTCCTGAAGTGTTTGCCTATGGTGATGAGAAAGACCGTGGGCTGGAAAAGGGCTGTGTTTTTGATGAGTTTAATTCAATCCAGCAGATATTTAACAAGTGCCCATTCTTGCTCAGGGCTAGGAAAGCTACTATGATTATTTTTTGAGGGGAGAGAGGGGAGGCATGGAGAATATTAATAAAGATGACACAGGCTCTTTTCTCTAGAATCACGGTCTATTTTGAGGGGCCAGGACAGGCACGGACGCGCCGGGTGGGAGTGGGATGGGTGGGGACAGGCGATGATTCACGGTCCGGAGTGTAGCTGCAGGAGGCAGACACGCCTGGTAGGATGTCAGGGTAGTTTCTTATGTTTTGGGCTCCTCAGTTTTCCCACCTCTAAAATGGGGACAACAATCTTCCTAGCTGCCAAGGTCGCCGCCGTGAAGGTTGGATGATCTGGTGGAGGGGTTCCTCGCACTGGCCGGGTCGGCGCTCAGCAGACAGCGCCATCAACACGGTGATGAAAGTGAGAATCGGGGTCCACGAACGGCGCCAGGCTGGAGATGACCAAGACCCAGGCACTGTCGAGAACTCGGGGCTCTACGTTTGCTGGTTCTGCTGTTGTTTTGCAACTCTGTAGCATTTGAACGGGAGGCCAGGAGTCCCGCTGCGAGAGGGGAAGCGAGGGTGGTGGGCGAGCCCCTTCCCACCCCGGCCCCGTCAAGGATTCGCGGCCCTGTGAGCAAAGCACTTTGTGACTCACGGCCGCTCCAGGGCAGGCTCTCGGGTGAAGGAAGCATGCTTTGTGGGTTGGTCTTGCAGGGGGGAGTCCGACATCCTGAGGGGCAGGGGGCATCACGAGCGGATGTTGGTCTGCCCCCGGAGGGAGGGAGAGGGTTCGAGAAAGAACAATCCTAGTTCGGTCTGGAGAAATGATTTGGATGCTCAGAGCAGACCGCCTGGGAAACGAACAGGTGAGTCAGCTCAGCTCGGACGGAGGGAAGGAGAAGATCGGTTTTCTTTTTCGGAAGCAGAAGCAAAGGTTCCTAGCCGGTGGTGACAGGGACGAAGGCGATGACGGCAGCTGACAGACACGCAGGGCGTTTGTTTATTACGAATGCGGTGTGTCAGACACCCACCTCAGCTCGGCTGACCCTCAGCACAGCCTGGGGGGTAAATGCGGGTATTATCTCTGTTTTTTAGATGAGGACTCGGAGCCCGCAGTAAGATTAAGGAGCTGGCCCTGGTCACTGGGTCACTCGACTGGCTGAGTGGGGGCCGGGATCTCAGGCCCCAGGCCGAGCACACCTGGGCCAGGTAGGGAGGGCTGGGGCACGAGGGCCGCCAGACAGGTGGCAGTGGGGGCGTGACCGCGTGCGGCTTCGGAGACAGCCTGTGGTGAGCAGGCAGTGCCCGCGCCCGCGCTCAGGGAGGCCCCAGCTGGGAAGCAGCCGGGCGGGGGAGGCTGCGTCCGGCTGCCGGAGCTCAGGGAGGTGGCCGGCCAGGGGGGCGCCTGCCTCAGGGGGCAGGGGCCGACTCAGGCCGTTCTTGGCCGTCGGCCCCACCGTGAGGAGCTGAGATCGGCACGCTGCCCCTTGTGGGTGGAGACGGGTCCGGGCCCAGAGTGGGCTGCTGCAGGCGTGCCCGGGGCTGGGGTCTCGCTGCCTCTCGCTGCACGCAGAGTCCCGGCCTCCCTCCCCTCCTCGCCCCTTCCTTCCCCTCCTTGCCCCTTCCTCATCACCCCCACCGAGAAAGTGCCCTCTGACCCTCCCCACGCCCCCGCACCCCGTCACTGCCCCCACCAGGCCATCCCTGCGCGGAGCGGAGCCTGCCTCTTCTCGCTGGGGCCCTGCGCAGGGAACTGTCCCTTCTCGTGTGGGGGGGTACACACACGCACCTACGCACACAGCACACACATACATACACACGCACATACACACAACACACACACAACACACACCTACACACACACCTACACACACACAACACACACCTACACACATACGCAAATACACACAACACACACACACAACACACACCTACATACACACGCACATACACACAACACATACACACAACACACACCTACACACACATACACACACAACACACACCTACATACATACGCAAATACACACATAATACACACACATACACACACGCACACAACACACACCTACATACAGACGCACATACACACAACACACATACACACAACACACACCTACATACACACGCACATACACACATATACACAACACACACCTACATACATACACAAATACACACATAATACACACATACACGCACACACCTACGCACACAACACACACCTACATACACACGCACATACACACAACACACATACACACACACCTATGCACGCAACACATACGTACATACACGTGCACATACACACACAACACACACATACACACAACACACACCTACATACACACAACACACACATACACACAACACACACCTACATACACACACATACACACAACACACACCTACATACACACACATACACACAACACACACATATACACACACACCTACATACACATGCACATACACACAACACACATATACACACACATACACGTGCGCATGTGCACACACACAAGCACACACATATAACACACCTACACACAGCACACACATGCATACATACATACATGCAGACATAACACACATACACACAAATGCACATGTGCACACACATAACACATCTGCACACACACAGCACACCCACACACATACACACATGCACAACATACACACAACACACATGCACACATACACATGCATGCACACAAATACACACAACACAATACACATACACGTGTACATACACATGTACATACTCACATACACATATACACATACATACACACTTGTAAGGCTGATGGACTTTATGGCTTGATGTATATTGTTTAAAAAATTAACTCTGGAAGATTGCAAACATACAGGAAATGAGAGAGAAGAGCAAAGTGAATCTCCATGTACTCAACTCTCAGCATCCATGATGACCAACATTTTGTTCATCCGTCTCCTCCGTGCATTATAATGACCAGTCACAATTCCCTGCATTTCATCAGAGCTTTCAGAACGCATCTCACTTCATCCTTACCGCAGTCCTGTTGAATTAAGCAGAGTGGCTATTATTATTGTCATTTTATAAAGAGAAAACCAAGTCTCAGAGAGGTTAAGACACTTTTCCAAGGTTACACAGCAAGTGGGTGGCAGAGCCAGACAACCCAAGCTTTCTGGTGCCTAATAGGCCCCCTCCCATCATGCCACTCCAATAGCACTGTAGGGTGCAGGCGGGGTGTGTGTGTGTGTGTGTGTGTGTGTGTGCACAGCTCAGTTGGGCATCCCCTGAACTCTCAGCCGGCCAGGTTAGGCTTTCCTTTTAATCCCTTGGCGTGCCGTGCCTTGCTGCCCCCACGGTTGCGGGGGCCCGGGCAGAGGCAGGCAAATTAAGTTCTCCCAGGTTGTTCACCGGTGGCTTCCTTGGATCGTGGCTGCAGGATGTTTATAAAACTCTGAATCAATTTGAGGCACAGAGATTTTCAATCAGGGAAGCAGATTGCACTGATAGGGTCAAAAGGCCTGTCGCCAGCGAGGATCACAGCATCTGACATATTAATTTGAGCTGTCAGAATCAATATGTGTAACGGAGGAGGCCTTGCTTCTGCAAAGGAGTGGGAAAAGAACAGGGGGGTGGGGCATCCCACCCTGCCGGGGACTAAGGTTTCACAGATTCCTGCAGAACCAGTCCCACCAGCGTGTGGCCGGGGCTCCTGGGGCGCAGGAGGGGGTGCGGGGACTGGAGCCTTCTCCACGGGGTGCTGCACGCGGCAGCCAGGGGCCCTGTCGCCCCGCAAGTAACCTTCACACAAGCGCCCACTTCACCCCAGCACCCCGTGGGCTCTGAAGCCCTCTCGCAGGCAAAGGAGGCAGATCTGAGCGCTGCCAGGAAGTACGTTCGTTACCGAGAACCTTTTTGATATTTAGCATGCGAAATGTCTGCATTGCTGGAGCCAGGCTTCTGGGGAGGGGGGGCGTCCCCGTGGAGCCTGCCCTGTCCCGGTCAACACACGGCACACCCCACTTTCAGCGCCCGGGCACCTTTTCCTGTCCTCCCTCTGCCAGCTCTCCCTGTGGTCCCTGTCCCCGCCCCCGGTTCCTTTTAGACCGCTTGGGACAAGCCTGCCGCTTTTTACGACCCCATGACTTCCCTGGTCAGGTCTGGACACGGAAGTTCTTAAATGAACCCCAGGTGAGCACAGAGCACGCCGGGTCTGGGGGCGCTGGGCAGAAGTGCCGCCCACCTTTCTTAGGCCACACATGCATACATACATACGTACACACATAACACACAACGCACACACACACAAATGCACATGTGCACACACATAACACAGGGGATCACGAAAATACGTGATCCCGTGTCACGTTGGGGCCAAGGCAGAGCAGCGGCTCAGGGGCTATTGGTCGCACTCCAGGTAGACCCCGGCGCCCCGGGCCATGGCGTTAGTGACCACAAGGTCCAAATCCTTCTTTTTCAGACGCAGCCGCCGAGGCCTGGAAAGGGGAATGGCCGGCCCACAGAACACAGCCAGGGAGAGTCCAGCCCGGGACCGGAACCCCGTCTTCTGAGGCTCATGCTAACGTCCTTCCTGTCCTTCCGCAAAGAAGGACTAAGGTACGTGCTGGGGTCCGAGGCCTCCAGCTCGTCCTCATAGAGCGGACTGTTGCAGTGCAGGCTGACGGCCGGGGAGGGAGAAGTTTGAGGTTCCAGGGTGTTGATGGGGGAGGAGATGGGGCTCCGGGCAGACCTAAGCAGGGACAGCGTGCCTGGAAGGGCGTGTGCGGGTCGTGTGTGTGTGTGTGTGTGTGTGTGTGTGTGTGTGGCCAAGGGTGACCTCCTGGAGGAAGTTCCTTTCCATCTGCCTCTGACTGGTGACAAGGAATGGGGCCAAGGTCAGGGCTGGGGAGGGAGGGAGAGCGCCCCTCCCCGGCAGAGGGTGCACGGGACAGGCAGGCTGGAACCTGAGCAGCCTCCAGATGACAGTCAAGTGGCCACAGGAAGACTCCAATGGGGAGCGAGCGGAGAACGTGAAGGGATGGAAGAGACCTGGTGTAGATTCCACGCTGCCTTCCACAACTCCCGCAGGGGTCCTCAAACTTTTCAAACGGGGGGCCGGCTCACTGTCCCCCAGACCGTTGGAGAGCGCGGGGCACATCCCACACGTGCGCGCTGTGGGCCCGGGACCAGTCGGCGGCTAAGCAGGACAGTCGGCGGCTAAGCAGGACAGGCAGCGGCGGCAGAAACACCCTGCAGGCTGGATAAATGTCCTCGGCGGGGCGCATGTGGCCCACGGGCCGTAGCTTGAGGACCCCGGCCCTAAGGTGTCTGGACTTGACCTTGGGGCTAACAGGGAGACTTTGCCGGGTTTCCTGCTGGTCTCTGGCTTCCAGATGCTAAGGGCTGTCTGCGCTGGTCCACCGGCCCTGAAGCCCTCAGGTCAGCTTCCCAGCAGCTCTCGTCAGTGAACATTTACCCTGTGCCCGGCTCGGGGCTAAAGTGAGTATTTCAGTAGAGGAGCTCGTTTAATGTCCATAACAACCCGATAACGTGCCCGCCATCATTGCTCACGTTTACGGATGTTAATAGCTGACACTTACTTAGCGCTGAACATGTGCCAGGCACGGTTCTAAAGACCTCGTGGATATCCACTAACCCATGCCTCACAAAAGCCCTGTGTCGCGGGGACTGCTATTATCCCCATGTTACAAACTAGGAGACCGAGGCACAAGAAAGATAAACAACTTGTCCGAAGCCACGCCGGCCACCAGCAGAGCTGGGGGGTCACACCCGATCGATCTGGCTTCAGAGCAGCACTCAGCCACCACGCCTGGTGGCTCAGACCAGGGGGGGCTGCCTCCTGCCGCTTCTCCGAGCCCCATCATAGAAGGAGGCCAAAGGGAAAATGAAAAATTTAGAGGAAAATATTTCCCCCTTGTTGGTAAATTCCTTTTTTTCCTCCAAACGAACAAGGAAGGAAAACAACCCTCCCAAACCCAAGATGGAAACCTCCTTGTCCAGGAAATGGGGGACAGGATGGTGGGAAGAAGCTGGAACATTACACGGAGGAGGGGCCGTCTCGGAAGGGTGGGTGGCCCTTCTGTCGGGGGGGTGTCATCGGCAAGGCTCCCATGACCCCCACCCACCCCGACGTTACCCCTGTGAGCGTGTCGTGGCATGTGGCAGAAGAGTTTGCAGTGTAACTAAGGTTATCAGTAAGAAGACCTTAAAATTGGGAACTTATTTAGCTGGGCCTAACCTAATCCTGAGGGCCCCTGAAAAGCTGAGTATTCCCTCCAGCTGCTGGGAAAGAAAGGGACATCGGAGAGGCTTGGAGTGTGAGAAGGTTCTCTGTTGTTGAGGCGGAGGTGGCCCCGGGGCCAGGACCCGAGAGCTGTCCCTGGCCAGCAGCCAGGAAGGAAACAGGGACTCGAGCCCTACAACCGCAAGGAGCTCGATCCTGCCAATACAGGCATGAGCGTGGAAGAGGACTCGAGCTCCAGATGAGAAGGCAGCCACCCAGCCAGCCGGCCAGCACCTTGGTTTCAGACGTGGGGCAGCCCGAGCAGGAAGCCCGGCCACACCATGCCGGACTTCTGACCCACGGGCCTGTGAGATGATCAGTGGGTGTTGTCTGAAGCTGCTAACTTTGTAGTGGTTTCTCGAACAGAGAAAACGAATGCGGATTTTGTCACCCGGAAAGTGGGGTGCGGCTGTAGCAAAACCTAAACTGTAGGGGGTGGCTTTGGGACCAGGCAGTGAAAGGATTTTGAGAGCATGAGAGAAAGAGCCTAGATCGTCTGGGACAGGCCGGCAGCAACACGGACTTCAAGAGCTGCTGGCGAAGGTTCGGAAGGAAGTGAGGGACGTTACAGAGAAATTCTAAGTCGCCCCAGTCATGGGGACAGACTGTTGGTAGAGATGTACTTCCGATCAGGGCGCACGCGGGGAACATGTTATTAAACGCACTGGAATAGGAGTTGCCAAATGGTGACTTTCCAATTTTATCATCCGCTCTGTACTTACAGTTGAAATTCTTCTATAAAGAAGATCTTTTGCAGGACATGGTGGCACCTGTGGTCCCAGCTACTCGGGAGGCTGAGGCAGGAGGATCGCTTGAGCCCAGGAGCTCTGGGCTGCCGTGCGCTAATGCCGATCAGGTGTCTGGGCTAAGTTCGCGACATCAATATGGTGACCTCCCCGGAGTGGGGCACCACCAGGTTGTCTTAGGAGGTGTGACCCAGCCCAGGTAGGAAACGGAGCAGGTCAAAACTCCCGAGTCGCTCGGTGGTGGGCTCTCGCCTGTTTAAGAGCCGCTGCACTCTGGCCTGGGCAACACAGCAAGACCCCGTCTCAATTATTAAAAAAAAAAAAAAGAAGCGTGTCAATAGCTTGACATACAGTCCACACAGGAAAGGCAGTGTGGATGTCTGCTTCTTCCCCCTTACTTGTCAATTTTCAAAAGCATATTTTATACCATTATACCAGTCCAATCTGTCACTCACACCTCCAAAGAGCTGCAAAAGAATTGAAAACAAACCAACATTGAACAGAACTGCCAAGGCCCAGCGAATGGACTGGCAGGTCGCAGGGTGGTGGAGCAAAGCCTTGAACCCAGGCTCCTGGCGGTTCGGCCTCTGCTCTGAACTGCCGCATCTCGTCCCTGCCAGAGAGAAGGAAAATGGTCACGAGGTAACGTCAAGTGAATAAGGCGGGCTATAAAAATGCATCTCTACAGATCCATGGCTCTATTTACGGGTGCATAGAAAAAGGAGGAAGGAAACGCACCGCAGTTTTTACAGTGGTTACCCCTGAAAACTTTAAAGACAAAAAAAACAGAACACTGTTGGGCTTGGGACCTTGGAACACTTGGAACCTTGTCTGGGCTGCCGGAACCCAGGAAAGGATTGAGTCCCTTTGGTGCGACCTTGAGGGGCCAGTTTCCTGTTTATGAAAGTCCCTGTGGTCTTACTCTTGATGCTGGCAGGTGTCACTTGGGGGAGCTTGGAAGTGTCCTTTTCTAGGGAGCGGGGATGGACATGCCACCGTCCCTCACTCCCAGGCGTCCTGTGTACCCGTGTGCTGCACTGTGTGCAGCGTGTCGTGTGGAGGAAAACACGCTCCTCTCCGCTCGGCTACTTCTTAGCCGCGTGACCTTGGACAAGTCACTCACCCTCTTCGTGCCTCAGTTTACTCCTCCCTGACATGGGGAGAGTTATAGTACTGACCTTACATGGTTCTGGAAGGCTAAATGAGTTAATGTGACAAGACGCCGGGCACAAGAAGTACTCAGCCCACAGGTCAGTTTTTCTTATTCGAGAAAGCCTAGAAGAGTCGCAGGGCCAGCACGGTTTTGTAGTTTGAGGAATTGAAGGGAGCGTCTCTGGCCCCAGGTGCTGTGAGGGTCGCAGCCAAGCCCGGTTCCTGCCTCCCTGGCGCACGCGTTTCTGCATCCAATTTACCTTGGCCGCAAAGGATGATTCATGGCTCTGTTCACATCCTGGTCTTCCACATAAATCTTCCCTCCCCGCGCTGGTGGTGACAGCCCGCGGGTCTCCTGGAGTTTCCTCTCCGAGTTTCCCATTAATGCTGTCTGCACGAAGGGAGACTTTGGGGCGCGGCCTTTCCCCCCAGCACCCTTCCTTGGGGAAGGGCGGGCAGGAGCGAAGGTGGGCAGTGGTGGAGGTGGGGGTTTCTGGAGAGGAGGGACCTGGGAGGAAGACCACCCTATGGGCCAGGTGTGGTGGCTCACGCCTGTGATCCCAGCACTCTGGGAGGCCGAGGCGGGTGGATTGCTCAAGGTCAGGAGTTCGAAACCAGCCTGAGCAAGAGCAACACCCCGTCTCTACTATAAATAGAAAGAAATTAATTGGCCAACTAAAAATATATAGGAAAAATGAGCCGGGCATGGTGGCGCATGCCTGTAGTCCCAGCTACTCGGGAGGCTGAGGCAGGAGGATTGCTTGAGCCCAGGAGTTTGAGGTTGCTGTGAGCTAGGCTGACGCTATGGCACTCACTCTAGCCTGGGCAACAGTGAGACTCTGTCTCAACAACAACAACAAAAAGACCACCCTAGCAGGATGTGACCTTGAGATGCAGGTTGGGGGCTGTGATGGCAGCTGAGTGTTGAAGTGCCCCATGCCTGGAGCCCCCTCCCCGGAAGTCGGGGGAAGAAGGCAGCCTTCCTTACAGGACAGGATGGAACGGGCTTGGCCCTGAGGGGAGGCGGAGCGATTGTTTGTGAAGCTAGGTTCTGGGTTGATCTGCTCAAGTGCCACTTTCTCTTCCTCTTCAACCAAGCGCCGCCCGGTCCGGCCACCCTCTCCCAGCCCCGATCATCCGTCAGGCCAACTCGTGCCAGCAACCCCTTCTTTCCGGTCCTGCCGAAGCCCAGATCCTCAGCTGGGATCCCCAGGAGTGAGGACGATCTCGTGGTTTTTTTCACTCATGTTTGAACTTTGGGTCAGAAGCTGAGGTGAGAAAGAGAAAACAGACCTGGATCAAATGTCCATTTCCCAACACCACCCAAGGTGCATTGGGACCCTCAGGGAAGTTTCCTCGTTCACTCATTTTATTTACTTATCTATTCATTCATCTGAGAAGTGTGTATTTTTTTTGAGACAGAGTCTCGCTTTGTTGCCCAGGCTAGAGTGAGTGCCGTGGCGTCAGCCTCGCTCACAGCAACCTCCAACTCCCAGGCTCAAGCGATCCTCCTGCCTCAGCCTCCCCAGTAGCTGGGACTACAGGCATGCGCCACCATGCCCGGCTAATTTTTTCTATATATATTAGTTGGCCAATTAATTTCTTTCTATTTATAGTAGAGACGGGGTCTCGCTCTTGCTCAGGTTGGGTTTGAACTCCTGACCTCCAGCAATCCACCCGCCTCGGCCTCCCAGAGTGCTAGGATGACAGGCGTGAGCCACTGTGCCTGGCCTGAGAAGTATATATTGACTCTTTTAAATAGTGTTCTTCAAAAAAAAATTTGTTTGAACGGCAGAACACCTAACACAATCTCTGAACTGAAGCTCAGAGAGAACCAGCTACTCACCCAAGGCACCGAGTGGAGTAAGGGGGGGCTGGCTACCACCCAGTCATCTCATTTCTAA